AGGTGCTCTGGGGCCAGAGCAGAAAGAGGTTAGGGTTGGTGTTGATGGTGAGGTTCGGGTTTGGGTTGAATTAGGGATAAGGGTTGGAGATAGGATTGGGGTGGGGTTAGGACTAGAGGTTATAGTTGGTTTTAGTGAGTAGGGGTTAGATAGGTTGGGGTTAGAGATTAATGTTACACTTAGGGTAGGGTTAAGTGCTAGGTTTAATGTTATTGGTTAAGGATAGGCTTGCTGTTGGGATTAGATTTAGAGGTTAAGGTTAAGGCTTATTATTAGAGTTCAAGGTTTAGATTTAGGTTACATTAAGGTTACGGTTAGGTTTCAGTTTAGGGGAAAGCATTGGGTTTAGGGGTTAGAGTTGGAATTGGAGGTAAGTGGTAGGGTTTAGGGATAGGTAATGTGTATCACATGTTAGGAGTTAAGGATTGTGGTAATAGGTTGTGTTTATGGTTTAGGGCTTAGGCTCAGTGGATAGAGTTGAGGATTATGGTGTGTTAGGGAAAGGGTTAGGGGTTAAATATTAGGTGTTAGAGGTTAGGGTTAAGAATTAATATAAGGGGCTAGTTAGCTTAGTTGGTTACAGCATTTTGCTGATAACACCCAAGGTCCAGAGTTTGATCCTTGTACTGGCCAGCTGACAAGAAAACAAAGAAAGAATTAGATGCAAGGCCAATTGGAAGTTGGCATCATTCCAACGTACAAAGACAGTGGCCAAAATGAGAAATTTATGGATGGAAAGAAAGCCCTTTAGGGCAGAATTGGTGACTATACAGATGTGGGCAGTGAGGATAAAGGAGATTCTGGAGATAAAATCTGGACATCTGTCTCCACTGAGTGATTAGATGCTGATCCTGCCCTCTGAAGAAGGGGATACTGACAAGTTCAGATTCAGGTAAAGAGCTTGATGGCCAGTTTAGTCACACTGAGATCCAGGTGACCTCAGAACACAGATTCCCATTCTAGAAAGAGCCAATTAGACAGACTCTGTTCTTGGACGCAAGGGCATGTTTAATTCATGGTGAGAGGCAGACAGGACTTCTGCACCCCACCATGCCTGATGTAATCGCTGTCCAGTGAAGTCCAGCCTGAGCACAGCCACACTGTAGGTGGAAACTCCACTGCCCAGCTGGCCACCATTGTCCTGCATGTCCAGGACCCAAGTCTTCTGGGCACCAGAACCTTCCAAGTGTACAAGGGCCTGGAAGTTGAAGTGACCAGTGTGGAGTGGTATAAGCAGGAGAGGAGAGATGCTTAGGGGGAAGCCCCTATTTATGTAAATGAAGATGGTCCTTTTCAGGGCACAGGGGATGACTGTGAGTCAAGGGCATTGGTTGCAGGGAAGCCAGAGAGAGTAGGTTCTGAAGGGTAGGGCCACCAATCCTCCCAGGAGGAAGTCCTGCCCAATGGAACCCTCCACCCCCATGCAAGATCTTGTTAGACCAGGATCTCATGAACTTCTCAGAACACAGACAGTTTGTAAAAAAAGAAAGAGGAGACATTTGTCTAGTGAGAAACTCAGCAGCAACCACTTTGTGGGAGGTAGGGAAGTGTGGCGATCTGGGTATACAAGACTTCTGCTTGAGAGAAGAGTGCCATCTCCAGGAGAGGGGTAACAACAAAAGTGTGCATCTCAGTCCAGGATATGGCTTGCCCAGCCTAAGGTGCCTGGCAGATATCTGAGTGAATGGGCGTAGTCATAATCTATCTAAATATTAGTAATGACACATATACCACCCTGACTACTGTATGGGCTAATTTCTTTCCTCTTCTTTCCCCAAAATAATTATTTTGCAATCTTAAACCCAGGAACTTCAAAAGGTGACAGCATATTGAGATAGGGTCTTAAAGAGGTGGTTAGGTTAAAATCAGTCTGGGCCCTAAAACAAGCTGACTGTTGTCCTTACAACAAGAGGGGATTAGGACATACATAGACACACCAGGGGTAATTGTGCACAGAGGATGACCACGTGAAGAGGAAGAGAGAAGGCAAACATCTGCCAGTTAAGGAGAGAGCCTTAGAGAAAACCAATCCTGCCAGCACCTTGATCTTCAACATCCAGCCTCCAGAACTGGGAGAAAATACATTTCCATTGTTTAAGCTGCCCAGTCTGTGGTGTTTTGTATGGCAGCCCAAGCAAACCCATACAAGTAGCCAATATGAAATCTAGAGTAATGTGATGGGCTGTCTCTGTTCATACCAACAGGAGACTTGTCTATACTCCATTTAGAGAGGAGGTGCTACCATTCATAGCTTCTGCTGAAGTTAGTGATGTCTCTATTATGAGTTAAATTGTGTTTGCCCTTCCCCCAAATTTATATGTTAAAGTCCTAAACCACACCACCACAGAATCTGATGTTATTTTGCAATAGTGCCATTGCAGTTGTAATTAGTTCATCCAGTATGACTGATGTCCTTATAAATAGGGGGAATTTGTGTACAGACCACACAGGGTGAACATTATGGGAAGATGGAGGCAAACATTAGGGTGATGATTCTACAACCCAAGGGATGTCATAGATTGTCAGCACACTGCCAGAAGCTAGAGGAGAGACATGAACCAGATTCTCTAGGATCAGAATGATCGAGGTGACCTCCTTTTGGAACTCCCATCTGAATCTTAATTACCAGCCTTGCCGATTTATAGAATTAAAACTTCTGTGTACAGATAAGCCTCAAAATATGAATCCTAAAGTGCATGAAGTGTTAATCTGAAACACACTGTTTCAGGTGCCCTAGCTGCAAAGGAAATGGTATCTAGTAAGAATATAGGGAGACCCAGGACAAAACAGGCTGTGTTATAGCCGAGTTTTAAAGGAGACACACTCAGAAAGATGTTTAAAAGATTTATTCCAGCCGGGGCCACAGCAGCCAATTCTAAAATGTAGAATTTAATAGGGTCATGTCAATAGATTGTAATAATAACCAGTTCTTTATCTGGGAGAGAGGGACAAACCTTTTCCAACTGTGTGGTACAATACATTGAAGATACACAAATTAGTGTATTGGATGAGACCAAACATTTTCTAATGGCTTGGAAGAGACCTACCATATTAATTTCTCGCTTGTTTAACCATTTAAAGGAAAATAGGTGCATGATTTTTTCATCCTCTAAAATGCATCTGCAAAAATAAACATGGGTTTTGTAATAGCAACACCTATATGACAATTAGAAAAGTAAAATTACTTATTAATATCATGCGGTCATTGGCCCACATTAGAATTTCCCCGTTATTCTCACAATGCCTCAGGTTGTCAAACCAGGATTTAATAAAGAATCAGAATTCTACCTCTGGGGCCGGCCCGGTGGCGCACTGGATAGTGCGCCGCTTGGGAAGCGCGGTGGCACTCCCGTCCGAGGGTTCGGATCCCACATACAGACCGGCTCCCGCTCACTGGCTGAGCGAGGCGCGGGAGCAACACCAAGGCTTGCAATCCCGTTGCCGGTCTCCGGTCCGGTACGGGGGCAACACTGAGGGTTGCGATCCGTTGCCGGACACGGAAAAAAGACAAAAGACAAAAAAAAAAAAAAAAAAAAAAAAATTTAACCTTAAAAAAAGGGGGAAAAGGCCCATCTTTTTTCCTTCCGGTCCGGTTCCCCTGGT